TTCCTACCCTTTGTTTCCTGTCTTTTAACCAGTTACTGATCCATAAGAGGACCTTCCCTCTTATTCCATCACCCTTTACTTTGCTTAAGAGACTTTGGTGGGGATCTTGCCAATGGCTTTCTGAAAGTCCAAGTACACTACTTCTACAGGATCACCCTTGTCCACAAGTTTCTTGACCCCCTCAAAGAATTCTAATATATTGGTGAGGCATGATTTCCCTTTACAAAAGCTATGTTGACTCTACCCCCGAACATATTGTGTTCATCTATGTGTCTGATAATTCTATTTTTTACTATCGTTTCAGCCAATTTGCCTGGTACTGAAGTGAGGCTTATTGGCCTGTAATTACCAGGATCACCTCTGGAGCCTTTTTTAAAAATTGGCCTCACATTAGATATCTGCCAGTCATATGGTACAGAGGCTTAGTCATAACTTACATACCACAGTTAGTAGATCTGCGATTTCATATTTAAATTCCTTCAGAACACTTGGGCGAATACCATCTGGTCCTGGTGACTTATTTCTGTTTATCAATTTGTTCCAAATCATCCTCTATTGACATGTCACTTTAGGACAGTTCCTCATATCTGTCACCTAAAAAGAATGGCTCAGGTGTGGGAATCTCCCTCACATCCTCTGCCCTGAAGACCAACGCAAAGAATTCATTTAGCTTCTCTGCAACGGCCTTTCGCACCTCGATTGTCCAGTGGCCTCACTGATTGTTTGGCAGGCTTTCTGCTTCTGCTGTACTTAAAAACTAACAGCAATTTTTGTTGTGTCTTTTACTGTTGCTCTTCTTTTTTGGCCTCCCTAATTATACTTTTACACTTGACTTGCGAGAATTTATGCTCCTTTCTATTTTCCTCAGTAGGATTTAACTTCCAATTTTTAAAGGATGTCGTTTTGTCTCTAACTGCCTCTTTTACTGTGTTGTTTTGCCATGATGGCATTTTTTTTTTTTGGTCCTCTGTTTTTTATTTTGGTTATACAGTTAGTTTGAGCCTCTGTCATAGTGTTTTTAAAAAGTGTCCATGCAGCTTGTGACTGTTCCTTTTAATTTCTGTTTAATTGGCTTCCTCGTTTTTGTGTAGTTCTCCTATTTGAAGTTAAATGCTACTGTGCTGGGTTTCTTTGGCATTTTCCCCCATACAAGGATGTTACATTTAATTCCACTATGGTTGCTATTACTAAGAGCTTCAGCTATATTCACCTCTTGAACTAGATCCTGTGTGCCATTTAGAACTAAATCAGGAATTGCCTCTCCTCTTGTGGGCTTCAGGGTTAGCTGCTCCAAGAAGCAGTCATTAATGGTGTCTAGAAATTTTATGTCTGCATCCCATCCTGAGGTGACATGTTCCCAGTTAATATGTGGATAGTTGAAATCCCCCATTATTATTGGGTTTTCTGTTTTTGTGGTATCTCTAATCTCCCTGAGTATTTCACAATCATAGTCACCATCCTGGTCAGGTGGTCGTCAGTATGTTCCTACTGACATAATCTTCTTATTCAAGCATGGAATTTCTATCCATAGAGATTCTATGGTATTGTTTGATTCATTTAAGATTTTTACTGTATTTGACTCTATGCTTTCTTTCACATACAGTGCCACTCCCCCACCAGTGTGACCTACTATCATGCCTACATATTTTGTACCATAGAATCATAGAACTGGAAGGGACCTTGAGAGGTCATCTAGTCCAGTCCCCTGCACTCAAGGCAGGACTAAGTATTATCTAGACCATCCCTGACAGGTGTTTGTCCAACATGCTCTTAAAAATCCCCAATGATGGAGATTCCACAACCTCCCTAGGCAATTTATTCCAGTGCTTAACGACTCTGACAGTTAGGAAGTTTTTTCTAATGTCCAACCTAAACTGCCCTTGCTGCAATTTAAGCCCATTGCTTCTTGTCCTATCCTCAGAGGTTAAGGAGACCAATTTTTCTCCCTCCTCCTTGTAACAACTTTTATATACTTGAAAACTGTTATCATGTCGCCTCTCAGTCTTCTCTTCTCCAGACTAAACAAACCCAATTTCTTCAATCTTCCCTCATAGGTCATGTTTTCTAGACCTTTAATCATTTTTGTCGTTCTTCTCTGGACTTTCTCCAATTTGTCCACATCTTTCCTGAAATGTGGCGCCCAGAACTGGACACAATACTCCAGTTCAGGCCTAATCAGTGCGGAGTAGAGCGGAAGAATTACTTCTCGTATCTGGCTTACAATATTCCTGCTAATATATCCCAGAATGATGTTTGCTTTTTTTGCAACAGGGTTACACTGTTGACTCATATTTAGCTTGTGATCTACTATGACCCCCAGATCCCTTTCCGCAGTAGTCCTTGCTAGGCAGTCATTTCCCATTTTGTATGTGTGCAACTGATTGTTCCTTCCTAAGTGGAGTACTTTGCATTAGTCCTTATTGAATTTCATCCTATTTACTTCAGTCCATTTCTCCAGTTTGTCAAGATCATTTTGAATTTTAATCCTATTCTCCAAAGCACTTGCAACCCCTCCCTGCTTGGTATCGTCCACAAACTTTATAAGTGTACTCTCTATGCCATTATCTAAATCATTGATGAAGATATTGAACAGAACTAGACCCAGGACCAATCCCCCCACTTGTTATGCCCTTCCAGCATGACTGTGAACCACTGGTAACTACTCTCTGGGAATTATTTTCCAACCAGTTATGCACCCTCCTTGTAGTAGCTCCATCTAGGTTGTATTTCCCTAGTTTGTTTGTTATGCAAGACAGTATCAAAAGCCTTACTAAAGTCAAGATATACCACATCTACTGCTTCCCCCCATCCACAAGGCTTGTTACCCTGTCAAAGAAAACTATCAGGTTGGTTTGACACGATTTGTTCGTGACAAATCCATGCTGACTGTTATTTATCACCTTCTTATCGTCTAGGTGTTTGCAAATTGATTGCTTAATTATTGCTCCATTATCTTTCTGGGAACAGAAGTTAAGCTGACTGGTCTGTAATTCCCCGGGTTGTCCTTATTTCCCTTTTTCTAGAAGGGCACGATATTTGCCCTTTTCCAGTCTTCTGGAATGTCTCCCCGTCTTCCATGACTTTTCAAAGATGATTGCTAATGGCTCAGATATCTCCTCAGTCAACTCCTGGAGTATTCTAGGATACATTTCATCAGGCCCTGGTGCTTTTCTGTTATTGTCTTTCCCCCCTCATTGAGTAACAGGCCTACTCTGTCCTGGGTCTTCCTCTTGCTTCTAATGTATTTGTAGAATGTTTTCTTGTTTCCTTTTATGTCCCTAGCTAGTTTGATCTCGTTTTGTGCCTTGGCTTTTCTAATTTTGTCCCTATATACTTGTGTTATTTGTTTATATTCATCCTTTGTAATTTGACAGAGTTTCCACTTTTCATAGGACTCTTTTTTGAGTTTTAGATCATTGAAGATCTCCTGGTTAAACCAGGGTGGTCTCTTGCCATACTTCCTATCTTTTCTACACAGTGGGACAGTTTACACCCACAAAACAACAAAAATATTTCCATTGATAGTAATCCAAATTTACAGATGGGCAAAGTAACAAAAAATACTGCTTGAGAACTAATTAGAGTTTGATTTAAGAATCTTTATTTTGTATATTTTGACATGATGGTGACAATTTGGGTTTTAACGGTTATAAAACTTTAATTTTTTTGAATCACAATGTCTCCTCTCATTAAATAATTACTGTCTGACTCACTAATGTCTGACCCCCCACATAACTTCCCACAACTGTGAAAACTTAAATAAATATAGGAAAAGGTGCTTAAAATAAACATGGATATTAGCCATTGAAATTATTTTAAAAAGTTGAATTTTGCCAAGCTTGGCAAAGGCACTATATAAAATTAGTTATGGTATTGTTTCCAGAAGGGATTAATTAAGCTGGAAGTTCATCAGGGATGCCATTTTCCATTCAATGCATGTTAGTTTATACTTGCCTTTACTGATTAGTAATGCCTCGGAGGTAAAAGCTATGTGAGCTTACATAATAGTGCTCTGCTAACACTGGAAGTATACAGTGCGTCCAGAGTAAGAGACAAATTAACATTAACTTTGTCTCAACTGTGGATAAGCTGTCCTAGTCGTCTTTGTGAAAACGAATGTACATTCCAATGGGGAAAAAAAATGTTTTCAGTCTGGAATCCCATTCCTCCTTATTACACTTGTCATTTCTCTTAGTACATCTGACTGACAGGCTCAGAGCAAGGTTTGGCAAATACCGCGGTTGAGATTTCATACCTACTTTACAGTTTTCTCTCAATAAACAAAAGGTTTCCAATAAAGTCGTTTTTTATTTGAGTGAGTTTATAAGTGATCTGGAATAAACACCACTATGCAGCCAGGACATTAGACACATACATTTGTATTTCATGAACTCTTGGAAAGAGACAGAGGTAATATTTTGAGCACATAATCTAGTCTATATAATGCTTTTTTCAAAGCATTATGGACCTGATTGTCAGAGCACCCACATCTCCAGTTGAAGTTAATACAAAACACATGCTAATTTAGTGACCACATATATTCTTTCATTATTCATCATACTACAGCAAGTCTCTCCCTCAAAATATGGCAAAGAACTGTAAATTGTGGTGTTTTGTATGACTTGCAAGTTACATTCTTTCAACTGATTAGATTTAGTTTATGGTATGGTGGCTGATTCATACTAATTTGTTTAGTTTCAAGAAAAAATCATTTTTTAAAAATGAAAAATATAAATTCATTTCAAAAGGTAGCTTGTAAGCAAACAATATTTCTGTGGGTTATTCTAGCAGGATGTCCCTATTGATCCAGAATTCTCTTCAGCTAAAGCCATGTTTTTCTAACCATGTTCATAAATCCATCACAAATATTAATGCATTACAGCGCTGTCTACAATAGTCTTTGCACTTACACAACAACTTAGTTACAATGAAAAGGTGGTTGTGTTGCCTCATTTAGAACACTAGATCTATTTTTTGAGCAAATCGTCGCACTCACTTACCTTGAGACAACCAGTGGTAGAATCAACATTTTCAGCATCCTCATCAATAACTCCCCGGGGAATTGGAAATAACTAATTTCCTACAAATATACGGAGAGATGTGTTTATGGTTTTGATGTGTAAGATTGTCTTTCTTCACAAAGCACCTTACAGCTGCTGGTAAAACTGAATGATCTCATAAAATTGTACGATCAGTTTATATTACTTGCAACTACTGCATATCATTTCAAGTGGTACAGATGGAAGAAGTTGGGGAATTTTTTTTAAATGACTAAGGCTATGTAATGTGTTCTGATTCCGGAGAAAATAAAATAAGCTTTGCTTCACTCAGGGACACTTTGAAATATTGTGGATCTAAAAAAACAAACAAACAAAAAACAATTCTGCCTTAGCAGTACAATGAAATAAGTGCTAGGGATAATTCATTTGCCACAAACACATGTCCTAATGATCAGTAAAATCTCCATCCCCTTCAATGGTTTCTCCATATTAATGGAATTGCATTGTGCATCTGCGTGCCAAAGCAGTCAAAAAATAAATAAATAGGCCCTTTATGGGCCACTATTAATAGTTTTCGCTGCATAATCTCTTTATTCTGTATTTTGTACATTTCACTCTATGTGCATGAAGCTACTGTTTGGACATAGAAGATTTTCAACTCAGGGCCAGCAGCAGAAAATGACAAAACTGGTTTAATGATCACATATTTTTGAAGTACCATAACTTGTTTAAAATATTAAAATTTATATTCTTGGGGAAAAACATGTTCAGCAATGCATTTGTCACTGCCTGTCTGGTATGTCAGGCTATTCTGGATAGGAAGAATTGAGCACCTACAAACAGATTAGTAGAGGTGTATTTGAAGAGAAATCCCCTGGTGAATGTAATAACTTGTGCTTTTATTAATGAGACATCCCAGTTCGGTTCTTATAAAATATACTCAGTGTGAAATAAATATCTGTAACTCTGGATTTGTTAATCATAAAAAGTTCCCTAGTGTTTTAATTGGAAATACATGTTCTAATACAAATTCAAATAGAATGTACTCTGACACAAGTTCACATGCTACACTATTTCCATTTCCATTCAGTACAATGCAGCACTTCATTCAGTTTCAGAAGCCAGTATTTTTATTCATACATGCAACATTACAATGTGCTTCTTAAGGTAGACTTGCAGTGTCTTATTGACAGTTTATCAACATATATTGGATATAAAATCTATGGAAGGACCCAAAGAAAATAAGGTAGGCTCCTATCAAAATACTACCACACTAACAAATTAATTTTTATCTTGAAATACTCATCCTTGAAGTTCCATAGGTTGTTTTATCTCCTATTTTGTTACAGAACTGACATTTTCTGCCCAGTGTCACGCTCATTTGTTACTGACCTGCTGAGAGAGCCGCCTGGTCCTGAGGAAGAATCCAAGAAGACATCCCACTATGACAGACAGTACTGACAGAATGAGCAAACCATTTCTTTTACAAACATCCTTGACCCGAGCCAGCATTGCATCAAAAGCCACTGCCATGCTGTCCTCAGTGCTCTTTGGAGAAGAATCAGCATCCCATGGAGAGAGACCTCACTAGCTTCCCTTGTTAGAATAGACAGCTCTAGCTCTGTATAGATCAGATCAAAGCACTTCCAGGACTGCTTAGCTGACCTGCAAGGTCACCCCTCTGCCAATAGCCACGAAGCATGCAGCTGGCATTATTGTTCCAAATTAATACCAACAATCCTATTATTGACTACATCATTAAGAACCTGGAAGAAGATTAAGGAGCTCTGGAAAATTAGAACAGAATGTAGTAGTATTTCTAAAACAAGAGTGAGTCAAAACAGAGTGACACCCACATGAATGAAAAATAATATTTTCATGCATTCCTCAACCCTTGCAGCATGGTCTCCTAACATCCAGGCCTAGAAAGGAAGTAGTGAAAGTTATGTATTTAAATGGACAGAAATTATGTTTTTCATACAGTACATATACTAAAGGGCAGGGCAGATAACACTTTGAACTGGACTATCATAACAGGGCAGGGCAGGTGAGACTGAACTTCATTAACTAAAGCTGGTCTGGTTTATACTTTTAGTAAATGTGGTTAGCAAAAGGCTGGGCAAGTACAATAATAAACTGCATTAACAAACTGAATATTACTGGAGAAAAACATAAAAGGGGACTCTACAGTACTTTGCATTTTTTATCTTGGGAATGAAATGATTTCACTTTCCCCCCTTCCACTGTGTTGATTAGAGCAGGGGCCAACTTACTTCCAGAGGATTATCAGCCTAACCCACATGAATCTTTCCTTTCTTTTGGTATGTCTAATCATCCCATTCATTCAATTCAAACATAGATTTTTATGCTCTATAATGAATGTCTTGTAAAACTATACTATCACAACCATCCACTAAACTATAGCATACCATATTATTAGTACAGTGTTTGGATCATAACTCTAGCATTCTGAAGTGTTTCTATAAACAATCTATAACACTGTACAGTATATTTGGGGGATTTATAAGATTATATTTAGCACTCATATTATAGATGAGCATACTATATACATGATCACTGTAGAAAATCCCATGACAAAATTAATAATTATGTATTCAGTAGAAAGTTTGTATGGTAAATATGGCATGGGGCCATACGCTGAATGATGAGACCAAAAAGAAATACTGAATATAAATAAATAAACTATAAGTATAGTAATGAGCAGTGAGCAGCCTCCCTCCATCTTGTGCACTGAATGAGGCAAGATCCCGGGGGGGAAGTGTAATTATGTAATTAAAGACTGTATCACAAAGCATATGCACAAGAAGGCCAAATTAAGGTTACACAAGCAACCTTAATTCTGGAGTAACCTAATTTTTGAGTGCTTGACTTTGCAATCTTAATATTCTTCTAACATAGATTTTTTAAAATGTAATTTTTTATGTTTTTTAAAAAAAGCAAACAGAAAAAACACACAGAAATTCTACTGTGTGGAACCATATTGATCCTCACATGGGTCACTGCAGAGCTGGAACTTAGCTCCAAAGCACACACTTTTGTCACTTGAGCTAACAGTGCAATCAATAGCAGTAGCAGGTTGTTATCTGCGATGTGGGCCAGCAACTAGAAGGGGACGTGACACACACTTTAGCAGTGGGTTTTCACAGTTATTTACCAGACAGAAGAGTAATGCTGAGACTCAGGACTCCTCGGTTCATTTCAGGTTCTGGAAGAAAGTGTATCTAGTGGTTACAGACCCTTCTTTTCCTGTCCACCCACCCCTAGTATGTGTCATAACAGCCTTTCTCTTCCTCATCTCTGCCCTTGCCACTGCCTCTATCCCCCGCAAGCTTGTCTCTGCCCGTTCTGCCCCATCCTATTCCACCTCTGTCCTCCTTCCCACTGCCTGTCTCTACTCCCATCGCCCTATGGCATTCCAGATAGGCAGCTTCCTCCTTCTCCATGCAGCCCCTGGGCACCATCAGCAGGATCACTGACAGCACAGAAAAGACAGTTTCCCTACTCTCAGTTCCTGCATCTGATGTTACAGCGACTCCTCAGTGCTTGGAGGAGCAAATGCAGAGAAAGTTGTGCACAGACCAGGTTTTGAGCATGCCCAGTACAGACAATCATCTGAGAATTTAGCTGCCAAACTAATTAGTTTCTCCTGAGTATGTGCAAAATTCCATTATTTTTTTCCAGAGGCTTATAACTTGGCCAAATTTGGATGGATTTTTACAGGGATGGGAAAAAGGCCAATCCCCGACACAAGGGTGAATCCCCATGCCAAATTTCATGTCTCTGCTCTAAAGCCTGGAGGCACTAGAGCTCAATGAAACAGTTATAATAATTTTTTAATATGGGCTAAAAATCCAAAATATTTCCCCCAATATCATTTTGGGAAATAGCTAAATCATTTTGCTGAAACATTAAAAAAATATTCAGCCTCAAGACAGACACCCGGCATAGAAAATTTCAGACCACATGATTAAAGTTTGGCAGAGTTATAAACAACTAAAACCAAGGTCTTATAATGGAAGATGTTGGGCAGCCTTAAATAGGCATCATTACCTGCACCACCCATCATAAAGAAAGCTACAGGGCCTGATTTTCAGAGGTGTAGATAGCACCCACACTTTCCATTGTCTTCAACTGGATTTGTGGGTGCTTAACTCCTCAGAATATCAGGTCCACATAGGCCATCGTCAAATGGTCTATGTGGAATCCAGGCTTCTCCCACTCATATTCCTGCCTGCCTACTCACCGTCCCCATGTGGGCAGGGGACTAGCTGTCACATGGCAGCTGTTCTCTCCCCCATACTGTAACTTATGAGACTGATGGCCTGTGCAGGGGAATAAGAAGGCCCTTTATACCCTCTAAATCACCTACCACATATCACAATTTGGTTCCATTATATATAGTTTGTTTGTTTTCCCTCTTTGTTTCCCCTTTGTTTTCCCTCTTTGTTTCATCCTCTAGGGTGAAATGCACCCCAGTGCAAAATTCTAGTACAAGACTTTCAAAATAGGGCTAATTTGGGATATAAGTAGTGCATGGGCCTTGTGCAGGTCCACTATAGAGAGGGGAATTTTATTCCTAGTGAGTAACAGTAATAAAACATATTAAGGACAACTGTATTTTAACTAGGTGCAGTTACCACCATGGTCCACCCCTACCTCCAGAAAAGTTGTTGCAGCAACATGAACTTTCATAAAGGTTTTTGGAAGAATGTTAGATGTTCTGAATATAACACCTGTAAAGGAGTTAATTTCTAGAGCCAGCACCACTCAGTTGTTGCTATCTATCAGTGTCATCTCTGCCTATAACCAGTAAATAAGAATTTGTTCTGATAATGCATTGATTATGAGCCTGATTTTGAATTCCTTGTGCACTTAAAATTGTCACAGATTTCAACAATATTGATTGCACTGAGGTGGAGTTTCTCTGAAATCATTCTAAATGGTCTTTCTTCAGGTGGGAGAAGGTATTCTATCTCTTATGCTTGTGTAATTTAATTTAATATTTAATAAAATTTATTATTTTTCTACCTCATCTTACGCCAAACACAAAAAAGATACTAGATTAAATTAATGTTTCAGCTCTACAAATGCAGAATTAGAACACAGATCTCTGAATGAACATAAGAACAGCCATACTGGGTCAGACCAAAGGTTCATCTAGCCCATTAGCCTGTCTTCCGACGGTGGCCAATGCCAGGTGCTTCCCAGGGAATGAGCAGAACAGGTAATCATCAAGTGATCCATCCCCTGTTGCCCATTTCCACCTTCTGGCAAACAAAGGCTAGAGATATTATCCTTGCCCATCCTGGCTAATAGACATTGATGGACCTATGCTCCATGAATTTATCTAGTTCTTTTTTGAACCCTGTTATAGTCGTGGTTGACTGGGTGTTGTGTGAGGAAATACTTCCTTTTGCTTGTTTTAAACTTGCTGCCTATTAATTTCATTTGGTGACCTCTAGTTCTTGTGTTGTGAGAAGGAGTGAATAACACTTCCTTATTTACTTTCTCCACACTAGTCATGATTTTATAGACCTCTATCATATCCCCCCTTAGTCATCTCTTTTCCAAGCTGAAAAGTCCCAGTTTGATTAATCGTTCTTCATATGGAAGCTGTTCCATACCCCTAATCATTTTTGTTGCCCCTTTCTGAACCTTTTCCAATTCCAGATGGGGTGACCACATCTGCACGCTGTAATCTTAGCATCAAAGATGTTAAGAGATGGAAAAGGCCCATTACTAGCAGATCATCTTGCTCACATCCTTACCTATCGAGGATTACTCTTAATACTGTACCCTGTTGTGTCCAGTTACAATATTTCCTGTCAAACATACTTTAAGTTTGTCTTACTTTTCTGCTTAGGTATGCTCCAAATTAATGCATAGGATTGCAAATAAATCTTTGCTCTAGTCTCAATTCTGCTACTGACTCGTATGACTTTGGGCAAGTGACTTAATTGTGTAGTGCCTCGGTTTCCCCAAATATAAAATGACAGGATGATACTTCCCTACTTCGGAGGGGCAGAGTGAAAATTAGTTTATGAATGTTTGTACATCCTCGGATGGAAAGCCCCAGGGAGTGCAAGGTATTATTGTTGTTGTTACAAAGTAGTCTGTAGCTAACTTCATGTATCCTTGCTCTTACTGCTTCAAAACTAAGCTGAAAGCTACTGAACACATTAGCCAATCCCCTGTAATGACTTGCCCTGAGTACCGGTTCAAGCTGTGATCATAGGGTGGCTTTGCTTTCAGAGCAAGAACGGTGCACAAGCACTGGCACAGTTTTAAAAATGTTATTAAGATGTTAAAAAATACTGAACAGAGTTTGAGCATAGAAGTTTTTGGTTATCAGGGAATAACATACAGATTAGCGAGGGTGCAAAATTTGGTTTAAGATCAGGTGGCATAAGGAATACATAATCTGCAATATCCCCGATTGGGGGTAAAAGGTTCATGGGTCAAAGTACAGGCATTGAGATATGAGGGTATGAAGTTCATAGAGTGGCTATTTTCGGGTGTGGAGTATAATGAGTGGATATGATGATGAGGATGGATTGACCCTCATTTGATGAGTTTTAATGTTCAGGAAGTTTATGGTTCCAGTTCATATGATCCAACGGAGAAGGTCACTTGGTCCCTTTCTCGTAGTGAGAGAATGATGTCACTCTGGCTCACGCCTCCTGGTACTGTCGGTGGCCGGTGATGTGCTTGATGTAGATGTCCCTGAACCATCGGATGGCGTCTGAGACCATGAGGCGCCGCATGAGCCGTGCGTAGAGACGACCGATCCCGCAGGTCCACAGCATACGCTTGTTGCAGGGGTCCCAGGCGCCCAGGGCTCCGACAATCAGGACGTCCATCTGCACCTCGTAGCCCTTTGCTCGCAGGGTGTCAGCCAGGGGGGCGTACTTTTCCAGCTTACGAGCTCGGGCTTCGCGAAATGCCGGGGTTCTGTTCTCAAAGGAGACTGTGACGTCGACGAGGATGATCTTTTTCTGGGCCTCGTCAGTGATGACCACGTCAGGTCGTAGCTGGCTGTCGGTACCGGGGATGGTGCAGTTCACGGAGATCTCCCCCAGGCGTGGTGCAATGGCTTTCCCCAGGCGGCTCTGGATGACGTTGTGGTGCAGCTGCCAGGCTCTGGAGTGAGGTTTGCAGCTGCAGAGGACGTGGGGCAGGGTCTTGTTGGAATAGCCGCACTTCTGCAACGCTTGTCTCGGTTCCCATGGCGGACGGCTCCGTTGAGCGGGACGCAGTTGAGCCGGGCACGGTGGATGAACCGCCAGTCGGCGAAACGGGTGAAGCCACTCCCGGCGAGGAAGTGGTTGCTGGCGTCCCACTTGCTGGTCAACTCAAAGGCTTTACTCTGGTCTGGTTTACGCTTCAGGGTTTCCACGTACAGCGAGTGGATGGTGGCCCGTACCCCAGGCTTTTAAACAGACCTAGCATCATACTGACTGTTAACCCTCACCTTAGTTTTACTTTCACTGCCGCCCATCAGCTACCCCACACTTCACTGACCAACCCATCTTTGCACGGGGAGGCCACAAGCCACAGAGCTCAGCGAAGGGGCAGCGTGTTGCACGCACAGTGCTAGAGGCAAGGGGAGGCAGCAGCCCCCTACAGCAGGGGCAGATTACACCGGGCTCAGCCCCCACAGGGCGGATGAAAGTCCGGCCACAGCCGGGGGTAGGAGCCCCGCTCCCTGCACAGGAAGGCGGCGGGACCCCCCAAGAGGGGGTGTAAAGCTCCC